ATCCCGTCTCCCTACCTGCCAGTTCCGGTCTTGGAAGTCCCATGTCATGTGGTAAATTCGTCTCCCTTGGATGTCCCATCTCCTGCGGTAAATTCCTCTTCCCGTCTCCCTACCTGCCAGTTCCCACTTGGGTGTCCCATCTCCTGTGGTAAAATTCCTCTTCCCGTCTCCCTGCCTGCCAGTTCCCACCTGCTGTGGTAAATTCCTCTTCCCATCTCCCTACCTGCCACTTCCCACCTTGGATGCCCCACCTCTTGCCCGTCTCCCTACCTGCCAGTTCCGGTCTCGGAAGTCCAATGTCATGTGGTAAATTCGTCTCCCTTGGATGTCCCATCTCCTGCGGTAAATTCCTCTTCCCATCTCCCTATCTGCCAGTTCCCATCTTGGATGTCCCATCTCCTGCGGTAAATTCCTCTTCCCATCTCCCTTCCTGGCAGTTCCGGCCTTGGATGTCACATCTCTTGTGGTAAATTCTTTTCCCATCTCCGTACCTGCCAGTTCCCACCTTAGATGTCCCATCTCCTGTAGTCAAATTCCTGTTCCCATCTCCCTACTTGGCAGTTCCCACCTCCTGTGGTACATGTTTCCTCCCTACCTGCCAGATCCGGCCTTGGAAGTCCCATTACGGCCTTGGAAGTCCCATGTCATGAGGTAAATTCCTCTTCGCATCTCCCTACCTGCCAGCTCCCACCTTGGATGTCCCGTCTCCTGCGGTAAATTCCTCTTCCCGTCTCCCTATTTGCCAGTTCCCACCTTGGATGTCCCATCTCCTGTTGTTCCCTACCTGCCAGTTCCGCCTGCCAGTTCCCATCTTGGATGTCCCACCTCCTCACCTTAGATGTCCCATCTCCTGTGGTAAAATTCCTCTTCCCATCTCCCTACCTGCCAGTTCCCACCTTGGATGTCCCATCTCCCGCGGTGTAAAGTCCCATGTCATGTGTAAATTGGCTCACTTATTCTCATGTCATCTGTCAAAAAAATGGAAAAATGCCTGCCCGTTAGGTCGGCGCATAACTCCCATGTCATGTGTAAAATAAAAAACCATAGCAAAATCGATACATAAATCCCATGTCATGTGCCAAAAAACATCGGCTAAATCGGCCGCAAAGTCCCGTGTCATCTGCGCCTAGTATAGTTTCATTCCATCCACAACCAAACGTGAATAAAAAATATATATATATATATACATAGATAGTTTGTGTATATACATATGAAAAAAGTATATGTATCAAAAATATTGAATACAATTCCATATTTCAGTCCGAAGTATATGCTGAAGATAACATCTATTTTGATGATGTTTAAATAACAAAGAAACATATATCCATGATATATCCCATATGCTCCATGTATGGAATCTTTACCAACATTTGCCCTAAAAATCACCGAAATGTAGGTAAATATACCATGCATGGAGCATCTGGGATATATCATGGATATATGTTTGCAAAGGTAACATCTATTTCTTGCTGAATTTCGCCGCGGCGCTCGTCCCAAGTGATCTCGCGATCCGCATCGCTGTCCATGGCCTAGTCGCGATCCGAAAACCAATGGGGTAAGCATATAATTTGTATTATGGAATAATGGTTTAATAATGGTATAATGCCAGTAATGATGGTTTATGGTACTTAATTGGGTCAACATGGTGTAATAATGGTATAATGCAGGTAATGATGGTTTATAATACTTAACTGGGTAATAATGGTTCAATAATGGTATACAAATGGTAATGATTGTTTATAATACTTAACAGGGTAATCATGGTTTAATAATGGTAAAATAATGGTAATGATGGTTTATAATACTTAACTGGGTAATAATGGTTTAATAATGGTATGATAATGGTAATGATGGTTTAAATTCCTTGACTTGGTAATAATGGTTTAATAATGGTAAAATAATGGTACTGATGGTTTATAATACTTGACTGGGTAATCATGGTTTAATAATGGTATAAAAATGGTAATTGTGGTTTATAATTCTTAACTTGGTAATCATGGTTTAATAATTGTAAAAAAATGGTAATGATTGTTTATAGTAATTAACTGGGTAATGATGGTTTAATAATGGTAAAAAACAAGGTAATAATGGTTTATAATACTTAACTTGGCAATAATGGTACAAAAACGGTAATGATGGTTTATAATGCTTAACTGGGTAATAATGGTTCAATAATGGTAAACAAAAAAGTAATGATGGTTTATAATTTGTAATACTTAACTGGGTAATAATGGCTTAATAATGGTAAACAAGAAGGTAATAATGGTTTATAATACTTAACTTGGTAAACATGGTTTAATAATGGTATAATAAAGGTAATGACGGTTTATGATACTTAACTGGGTAATAATGGTTTAAAGATGGTAAAATGATGGCAATGATGGTTTATGATACTTAACTCGGGAATAATGGTTTGATAATGGTAAAATAATGGTAATGGTGGTCTATACAACTTAACTGGGTAATCAGGGTTTAATAATGTTAAACAAGAAGGTAATAATGGTTTATAATACTTAACTTGTTAATAATGGTTTAATAATGGTAAAATGCCGGTAATGATGGTTTATGATACTTAACGGGGTAGCAATGGTTTAATAATGGTAAAATGATGGTAATGATGGTTTATGATACTTAACTGGGTAATCATGGTTCAATAATGGTAATAATGGCTTATAGTACTTAACTGGGTAATCATGGTTTAATAATGGTATAATAATGGTAATGATGGTTTATAATACTTAACTGGGTAATAATGGTTCAATAATGGTATACAAATGGTAATGATTGTTTATAATTCTTAACAGGGTAATCATGGTTTAATAATGGTAAAAAAGAAGGTAATAATGGTTTGTGATACGTAACTTGGTCATAGCGGTTCGATCATGGTGGAAAACAGTAATGGTGGTTTAAAATACTTAACTTGGTAATAATAGTTCGATAATGGTATAAAAAACGGTAATGATGGTTTATAATGCCTAACTGGGTAATAATGGTTCAATATTGGTATAAAGACGGTAATGATGGTTTATAATGCTTAACTGGGAAATCATGGTTTAATAATGGTAAACAAGACAGTAATGATGGTTTATAATACTTAACTTGGTAATAATGGTTTGATAATGGTAGAAATGGTATAAAAACGGTAATGATGGTTTATAATGCTTAACTGGGTAATAGTGGTTCAATAGTGGTATTAGAAAGAGGTAATGATGGTTTATAATGTTTAACTGGGAAATAATGGTTCAATAATGGTATAAACACGGTAATGGTGGCTTATCATACTTAACTTGGTAATAATGGTTTGATAATGGTATAAAAACGGTAATGATGGTTTATAATGCTGAACTGGGTAATAATGGTTCAATAGTGGTATAAAAACGGTAGTGATGGTTTAAAATGCTTAACTGGGAAATAATGGTACAAAGACGGTAATCATGGTTTATAATTCTTAACTTGGCAATAATGGTTCGATAATGGTTTAAAAAAACAGTAATGATGGTTTATAATGCTTAACTGGGTAATAATGGTTCAATACTGCTATTGAAACGGTAGTGATGGTTTATAATGCTTCACTGGGTAATCATGGTTTAATAATGCTTGCCAATGGTTACTTTTTAGATCATGAATATCATGGTATAATGGATTATTCAGTTATACTAATGGTTAGTTTTATGGGTTTCTAAAATATACATTACTTAATGTAATAATGGTTTCGAAATTGATATAGTCTTGGTTAGTAACTAACTAATCAAGTATCCCAATGGTTTAAAGTTTATCATCTATTAAGTTGATAGCCCAAATGGATTACTTATAGTTGCTGATTGTCTAAAAATTAGGTAACTAATGGATTATATCCAAACTAATGGAAAACCATGCATAATCCACAACAAGGAACCCGGGGGTTAAGATGCGCTCGTGTTAGTTTGATCTTAAAAATGGATTAGTAACTGATGGTTATCAAAACAAAAGCACTGAGGCCTAGTAATTAAACAATTGGCATGTTAATATGCATTGTGTGTTAACGATGTAAATTACGACATCAATCTTAAACATCCCTAGTGGTTTAGTACTTAAGTTACCACCCTTTTCAACTGCACTGGGTGAGGAAACAATGGTGTTTAATAAGTATGTACGTGCAATGGGGTCTAGTCAATAAATAGTTATCATGGGAAAATGTTATAATGTGTATTTTTTGTTTTATAGGAAGGATTAATTATTGGTAAGACATGCCCATAAACAATACAATGGTAAATCCAATTCCATAACCATCCCAGTAACCAACCATTTGGGCCAACTTGACATCATCAGCTGCTAGGGGTATACCCAATAATGAACCAAAATTGGATTGGCTAATGATTCAGTTTGCCTCATTGATACTGATTAATAAAGTTAGTAAGTGACTATAGCCCAAAAATGGGGCCATGGTTTAGCCCAAAAACGGAAACACTGACAATTGTTCAAAGTGGTCATGGCATTAAGTAGTGGTTGTGGGGATACCTTCTGGTAATCAAACACTTTCGGGAGATCTAAAGGGGCATGTTAATGGGGAAAAAATCATCAACCTAAACAAAGATTTTCCAGCAAACCATGCTTTGATGACGCTGGGGGTAATTCATGGAGAATCCTGGCTGGCCAAAGCCTATTTGTTCAGTAAATGATGGGAAACTAAGGGTAGGATTATATATTGTTGGGAAAGGAAATCGTCAAATTTGTGGATTGTTAGGATATGCGGTAAACCGGATGGTTAATGGTGAGAACTCACATTGTTTCAAGGTAGACGCTACGTTTGGGAAAATCATCGGCCAACGGATTTCCACTAGATTCTAGTTTCCCAAGGTACCCTGTTTCAGAACATGATTTAGAGTTGCCAACTCCCAGGATATGGCAGTAAATGGGAAATTCATGTTATCTGGTTGCGGTCCCAACTATTAAATCAATCAAATGTTTGATTTTTGGGGGTAGGGGGGTCATCTGGGTTTCAGTATATGATGATAACATGCTTAACCTGAGATACTCTGCGCAAGATGTTCTCTCTAGCTGACGTGCATCTTCCCATGTATGGACAATCCATTGAACTATTGCTGGTTATAACTTGGTTTATAGACATAGTTATATATAATGTTACAGCTATAGCTAAAGGTGATTGGAGCTAAAGGTGATTGGAGTTATAACCTCATTAGCTATAGCATACCAGTAGTACCGCACAAGGCGGTGGCGGAAGTTTCAAAAATAGGAAACCTGCGGGAGAAGTTGGTTGTTGCCAAGCATTGCGCGCGCTCAGACGATCGCGGGGCGGCCTGGTCCATTCCCGGCAAAAGATTCTCTGTTCCAAGGGCTGCAAGCATGGTAGGGATCGAGTCATAAGTTAAGATCTCGCTGGTGGTGGCCACAAGGCGCTCTTTCTGGTACCAGTGACATGCAATCTTGGAATGCGCTTCTAAGCCCTTCAGCTTCGGACCGCTGTCTGTCAAGTAGCGCGCTTCGTAGATCTTCTTGCCCTCCAAGATGCTCTGAGCATGGTGCCGCTCCATGGTGAGCGTCATCTAGTGGAGTTGTAGTTGTAATATGTTGTAACGTAATGTAGTGTAATTAGTGTAGTGTAGTTGCAGTTGTAGTTGTGGCGTGGTGTAATGGTGTAATTAGTGCAGTGTAGTGTACTGTAGCGTTGTGTACTGTAGTGTGGTATGGTGTAGTGTAGTGCAGTGTAAAGTAGTGTAGTTGTAGTTGTAGTGTGGTGTAATTAGTGAAGCGTAGTGAAGTGTAATGTAGTGTAATGTAGTGGTAGTTGTACTTGTAGTTGCAGCTGCAGTTGTAGTTATAGTTGTAGCTGTAGTGTAATGTAATGTAATTAATGTAGTGTAGTGTTGTGTAATGTAATTGAGTATTAGTTGCATTTGCATTTGTAGTTGTAGTGTGCTGCAGTGAAATTAGTGTAGTTTAGCATAATGTAGTGTTGCTGTAATTGTAATTGTAATTGTAGTTGTAGCTGTGGTAGTAGAAGTAGTAGAAGTAGTAGTAGTAGTAGCAGTAGTAGTAGAAGAAGTAGTAATTAGCAGCAGCAGCAGCAGCAGCAGCAGGAGGAGGAGGAGGAGGAGTAGGAGTAGGAGTAGTAGTAGTAGTAGTAGTAGCAGTAGCAGTAGTAGTAGTAGTAGTAGTAGTAGTATCAGTTGTAGTAGTAGTAGCTGTTGTTGTTGTTGTTGCTGTTGTTGTAGTGTAAATAGATGTAATTAGTGTAATAATGTGTTGTGTAATGTAGCTTAGTATATTTGTAGTGACAGTAGTAGCAGTAGTGTAGTGGTAGTTAGTAGTTGTAGTTGTAGTTGTAGTTGTCTATCTATCTGTCTGTCTCGAAGCTTGAAATCGAAGCTATTCTGCGAGACTTCCTCAGTTTTTGAACTTGACAACGTCAAAAACAGAGCAATTCTGCGAGACCTCCTCATGTTTTGAAGTCGACAACATCAAAAACGAAGCAATTCTGCGAGACTTCCTTCAAACATGGAAACTTGAGTGCAGAGCTGACGGCCTCATGCCAATGCGTTTCGCGGTTTTTCCACTCCATCTGTCTAAAGTGCTGCGCAGGTCATACGAAGTGCTGCATCTGTCACGCAAAATCATCTTAGCAAACCTGAAGATCTGATGCTCCAAAATGCAACCTCTCTCAGGAAATCAGCGCCCTGACCTCCTAACATCTCTGATGAACATGTCTCTTGCACTGCGCTTGCCACACCACATGCATCTTTGCAGATCCTCTTCAAATGTCCCACTGACATCGTTTTTGGAAATGCTACAAAACCACCCTGTCTTGCTCACTTTTGGCAAGGTGCAGAATCCCTTGCGCCTGCAACGCAAAGCCACATCTGAACCTTCAAAAGTGGTCTGAGCATGTGGTGGTTTTAACGTTTTGACTTGGAAATGTGCTTTGCACCACAACAGCGTGCACTTTTTCAACATCTCAACTTCCAAAAGTGCTCCGAAACCCTCGGACATTTGACTTCGAAACGTGCTTCGCGCCACAAAATGGCGTGCACTTTTTCGACATCGCAGCTTCCAAAAGTGCTCCGAAACCGTTTCGAAATGTGCTTCACGCCACACAACAGCGTGCACTTTTTCGACATCGCAGCTTCCAAAAGTGCTCCGAAACCGTCACACATTTGACTTCGCAATGTGCTTCACGCCACACAACGGCGTGCACTTTTTAGACATCTCAACTTCCAAAAGTGGTCCGACGTTGGTGTACTTTGTGCATTTCGACTTGGAAATGTGCTTCGCGCCACAACGGCGTGCAATTTTTCATCTCTCATCTGGCCAGCTGGCTCCGCACCCGCCGCTTTAGCGAGCCTACTTTTCGACCCTCCGGAGCCACAAATCATTGGAAAAACACAGTGTTTCGCGACTTCCCTACCTTTTAGCGCATCTGCATCTTCTTCTTCTTACTCTTTCTCTTCTACTCTTCTTTCTTCTAATCTTTCTCTTCTCTTCTCTTCTCTTCTCTCCTCTTCTCTTCTCTGACTCTTACCACCTCTGCATTTTCCATCTGTCCATATTGTCGGAAGTTTGACTTCTAAACTTCCTTCGGCTATAGCTAAAGTTTTATGAACCTCAAAAACCATAGTGACATTGGAGTTATCTTCATCAACATACCGCGATTTCGTTTGGACGGGGGCCCCGCTTTGTAGTGGCGATGGCTTTGTCCAAATCACCGTGACTTTTGTTGATTTACACCATGAATTCTCGGATTTTCTGTCTGACTTTACCCCGAAAATTTTTACCATTTTTTCCACAAACAGACACAGATTCTGGCGCCGGCCTGGAAGAGTTTTTCCATCTCGTCTCGTGATCCATCCTCCTGCGGTGAAGGTGACATATGCCATTTACCAGTGATAAATGGTTATAAACGGGGTTAATTATAATTCCATAAATGAGGTTATAACTGATTTATAGCTGGTAAAGGGTCATCACTGTACAATATAGCTACAATATCGCGAGCAGCTTCCCAAGACTCTCTCGCACAGCAGCAAGCCGCAGTGCCGAGCGGGTCACGTCAAGTTCTATCATGCTGAAGAACATGTTTTTGGTGGCGCCTTTAAGGTAAGCCATGGGTACTTGACAGTCACCACTCCCGCTGCTCGCGGCATCAGAACCACTGGTCATTGTCATTGGAATGCATGTATACAGTATAGTAAGGGAGCAACCCCCAAACGGATTTAGAGAAACAATCAGATAATTCGGGCTCCCGGGGGTCCATTTGCTTCATGATGTTCTTGCTGCTGTATTTCCGGTGAAGATCAAAGACCTTTGGATTGGTGGTTTTTCTGGCATTCAATTTGCAGTTTATTCGTGAACCAATGTGCAAAATCGTTTGCTTTGAACAGTGTGTTTGTTTGGAAAGCGGCCAGCGTGTATCCCAAGCTATCATTTTACCAAAATATCAGTTTGCCAAAGTATTGCTTTGCCAAAGTATCATTGTGCCAAAGTCTTGTTTTGCCACAATTTCATTTTGCAAAAGTATTGTTTTGCCAAGATATGGTGATGCCAAACGTTTATCGCACATTTCCTGGGGCAGATGCCTGCATTGATTGATATATTGAAATTATTAGTACCCCTTTGCATCTCAGGATCATCCTTCGTGGGTTCCACCAAGTCACTTCTCAAGGACGATGGTTCCACTGGAACCATCACCCCAGGCTAAGATTGATATTTGGAAAATGTTTGGATTAGCTAGTAGTAGCTATCACAGGGGACGACGGTTCCAGTGGAACCATCACCCCTAGAGATTGTGCAAAATGTGGGGTTTGGGGACGACCCAGATTGTTATTTTGCGAACTTTTCGGCCTATCATTTTGCAAACAAATTGTGGCAAACTGATATTTGGCAAAACTCAGCTTTGATATTTTGGCATCACATTTTTTTGGCAAAATGATATTTTGGCACAACAATACTTTGGCAAAATGATATTTTGGCAAAATGGCATTGTGGCAAAACAATACCTTGGCAAAATTATATTTGGGCACAATGATACTTTGGCAAAGCAGTACTTTGGCAAACTGATATTTTGGTAAAATGATAGCTTGGGATACACGCTGGCCGCTTTCCAAACAAACACACTGTTCAAAGCAAACGATTTTGCAAATTGGTTCACGAAATAGACACAATTTGTATGGCAGAAGACCTAATCCAAAGGTCTTTGATCTTCACCGGAGCCCGAATTATGTGCTACTAAATCGGATTTTGTTTTACTGATACGGCTGCGCCGTATTGTTCGCTGCGCCAAGGGTGGTGCAAGATTGGGTTGCGTTTTATCATCACGGGTGCCGGGACGCCGGGACGCCGCTGTGCATGAACATGCTTTGAAGTCATGCGCTGCCCAAATGGGTTTTCCGTGTAAAGACCGTTCAGCCAAGCTTGAATTTGAGTATTTTTGGTCATGAAAACCATGTCAGTTGATATTTCTATCGGTTTATGTTGCGTGATAAGCGTCATTGTTTGCAAGTGTTGTGGTTTGAGGCTGGCAGTACCAATAGCAAACAAACAACACAATGATCCCAATTGTTGCACAGACACACAGTTTAAACTGGAAAAAAACAAGATATCGGTGGCATCTATTTGATTGAATATTTTTGTTCTAGATAATTAGTTCACCTGTGTTTAACCCTTCAAACAGTAGGAGTGCAAAATCACAAACATGATTGCGTGCAGTTACCCTGCTGCAGACATAACACCTGAAAGCAATGAGACAACACCTGCATGCTAGGAAAATGACTTCTGAGCGGAAGCCCAGCACGGAAACCGCACAAAGAATTCGCAGAACGTAAACAATAAATTCCACGTCCGTCCATTTTTTTAAATATCCTCAAGAAACATCTTGTTGTTCCCAAATTTCAAAAACTCATCCAGCAGAGCGTGTTGTTGTTCCCAGCAACCTTGCAGCGCTTAGTCGATTGTAAAATCCACCTTGACGCAAGGTTTCATTGCTGTGGCAAACAGGGATCCATCCAGGAATGCAAGAATTCCATATTCCCTCAGATAACTTCTCGGAGCCTGCAATCGAGCCAAATAGGGAGGCTGTCTGAAAGACACGATGCTTTCGCTTTCCGAGGCGGATCATCTGGCCAGCAAGAACGTTCACCTCCCTGGTTCCCTTGGACATCATGCATAGCCAGAGTTTGTTCCTCCATTCATGGTTATAATATGAAACTATTCACCCAAACCAATGCTTTGTCATAAGAGTGCAAATGTTTTGGCACTACTTGGACTACTAAAGGTCCTACTATGAAGCAAATATTTGGACAGGAAATGCAAAATCACCAGCACTCATCCCAGCATTGCCAAAGAAGCTAACAACACTATCCAAAATATATCCTTACCACTACGGAACCATTGGGTTTGTCTGAAAATGGGTCTGTCTCCACTAAGATTGCTATTCTGAACTGGAACGATAGCCCATTCTCAGACACATCCAAGTATTGTATCAAGTTATTTGATATTATTTGCTAAAACAAAACATTACATTCAGGAAACATCTCATCGGAATATGACCCCATTAAAATTCTAAGAACATTCCGATAAAAGAATGGGTCATATGACCCATTAGAACCTATAAGAACCCATTAATTTTACTTGTCCCCCAACATATCGCATTAAAACGTTTGAGAACCCAGGGGCCCACAGTTCTCGGTGCCTGGGCCCTGGGCCCACGTGGCCGTGGCCGGTCCTGACGAATTTCCATGGGAAGACCAAAGAACTCTGCCATTTTGGCGTCCTCAGCGGTGACGACCACTGGATGTTTTGACATGATTTTCTCTGGATGTATACAGGTGTAGAATTAAACCATGGATATATGTATATGTATATACATATATATTTATGCACACACACACATATATATATATATATCTATTTAATTATATATATATATATACACGTATAGAGATAGATAGATATAGATATAGATTTACTGGCTACACATAGAAAGATACATAAATAGATACGTAGATACATTGAAAGATTGATAGATAGATAGGTAGATAGGATAGGAAAGGACAGGATAGGATTGGATAGGATAGGATAGGATAGGATAAAATAGTATAATATATGAAAAGATATGAAAAGATAAGATGAGAAAGAGTAGATTAGAAAAGATAAAATACGATAAGATAAGATACGATCCGATAAATAGGATAAGATAGATAGATAACTAGGTAGATAGATAGATAGATAGATACATAGCTAGCTAGCTAGATAGATAGCTAGCTAGATAGATAGATAGATAGATCGACAGGCAGACAGGCAGACAGACAGACAGATAGATAGGCATGATGGATTTGACCAAGCAAAAAACAGGGCTTTTGACCAAACATCTTTCGCTTATTGCTGGAACCCCCAATAGTTATTGTTTGTCAAACAGCTCCATATGGCTTTATCTTCGCACATCGATCGTTTGATTGTTTTTTCGATGAAATAATGTAGGTATAACAGCAATAAACCACCCATTTGGGAATGGTTTACATCACCTATTCATGGTGATTTGGGGGATGGTTTATTATTGTTTTACTCACATTAACGGGAAATATATCGACATATCCCCCAAATCGATCGCTACTTGCCCGCATGTTGGTTGCTGTAAACTTCATGTTTCTTGGTCGATGATGATCACTAAGGGGTTATACCTTTGAGACTCCGCTGATACAAAAACAGTGGCTATTGCAGATTAGGGGTATGCTGATCCCATGAACATGTGGAAATAGGTCACAATGACAGGGTGAGGAGTACTCAAAGATATCAAAGCCAATCTTAGATACCTTGCAAAACAATAGACAACAAATATTCTATCAATGTCCCAGGTCCCATCTTGTGCGAAAGTTTTCCAACACCCTAAAGTATTTTTTGTAAAGTAGATTTAAAAGTGGTTGTGCAACAAAATATGAGCTGTTTACACACATTTTTTAAAACCACGCCTTCCGTGCTGAATCGATCAGCACGACGAGGTTAGAGTCAGGTTTTGCCCGGCTTTGTTTGACATGGGGCCCTTCTCCCGGGCCAGGATGCCACCCGAATTTCTCCCAGATATATCCCATCCCCAAAAAGTGGCCAACCTTCGACCCTGTGGGAATGCACAATTCACCAAGATTAGAGTATCCTCCCAAAAGGATTGCACAGCTACTGGTTGCGATACGCAGTATTCCTACTAGCAACCCACCTCAAGATATAAAATATAATTTTACCTGCCAATTCATGACTTTTCACGACTTTTCTATCGTGTTGGCTACAATCAGATGCTATACTAGGAATGGGCGTTGTGTTATTTTCGTAGGTTTAGGACTTTACTATTTGTCTGTGGAACTTGCTGTCCAGAAACATCACAATCAGTGGCTATCATGGCACCAGGGTTCTTGCCTGGCACGTCCCCAACATCGGAGCGTTTCGCCCCATGGCGCCCCATGGTGCTTCGTCCAAGAGTCTCTTCGAATGGCTTTGATCAACTCACGCTTGTTCACCTCAAAGCCGTGGTTCCCAAATCTGCACCATGAAAGTTTGGGAGTTATCCCTCTTTTCAGAACCTAAAGAACACCAGATACGCCGTGATTTCAAGAATCGAGTTGTGGTGCTGCAATTTGTTGGATCTATCACATCATGAATGTGTTCATTATAGTTATCAATCATGTGTACAAACACTCTTCACAAGCCATTGAAAACTATAATTAACACTTAACATAAAAATATGGTTTGTTGATAACTATAGTTAATAGTTAATTATAGTTAAAAAACATGGTTTGTTGATTTTAACAAACCTCATAAACCAAGGCCATGTCATTCTTTGGGCAGTGTCCTTGTTTTGGAGGTGGCTAAACATCTGCCATGGGCCAACGGTCAACAGGTTATCCTCATGGAGTTGCCCAGATATGTTCGGGTATTTTGCTTTCCTATGGAACAATTATGTACATACATGAATATATTCAATGTAAATATACATGTCGATTAGTCTATGTATAAGCTTTAGTGGAAAAAGCTGCAGTCGCAGCGTCAAAGGGTCGATGGACTTGATCATCGGCGGTCGAGACCTGGTTCAGGGGGTATCGTCAGCGTCGCTATCCGGTGGTGTGGGAGGCGGTGGCACTGTGGGAGCGGCTTTAAGGCATCCGGCTCAGGGTCAGATTCGATCTCGTCTTCTCGATTCCAAGCGTCCCGGCTCGCAGACGTGGTGTTGGCCCATATCCAACATGGATGATAACCAACGATAGATTGGATAGTATAGCCTCCGAACAATTCTCGTCAACCAACAGGGGTTTAGTAAATTCAGCAGCCACAGCCCATTTATCTTGCTTGGTCGGCTATGAGGTTGTTATTTGGCTATCAGTCAAATCCCAGGTACCCTTGTGAACACGAAAACAGCTGGCACATGGATGTTCATCTCCAAACAGATATAGTATAATTACTAAGTTTTAGCCCAGCTCCATTCCAGAATTGCGGGCCATATGCCCATGATATGCCCATTAATTGTTGGATCATTATACCTGTAATTTGCATTTGATAGGTTACCCTAGGGGAAGTGGGCGACAACTGCCTCTTGGCAACGAAAACCCTGAAGCACGAGCCCGAAAAAGGCTCCGTGCACACGTTTATGGCCGTGTAGTTACCAGGCACATTTGCGGCTGTGCAGTCACCGCTTCTCTTATGCTCAAAGGCACTCAACCCCTCGCGTTCCCCTGCTTGGGGCTCCGCAAATCCTTCTGGTCCTTGCCCCTTGGGGGAATTCTGATGTGCTCCAAGAACCAACTCGTCCCTGACTTTCTTGTATGTCGGATCGAGGAAAATGCTCTCCGGCCCTGCCTCTCCAGCGGCCTCCATCAAGCAGCGAGCAAAGCTGCACCTCTGTTCCCCCCCTCTCTTGGGGGGCATCACGGCTTGCGCCAGGGCTTCCATCACAGCACGTTTCTTCGGAGGTAGATCCCAGAAACCCTTCAACGCCCTTACGCTCGGGGTAGATGTAAAAAAAAAAATCGTGCCCCTGGAAAATAGTGTACGCATGGTTGATTTTTCCACATCTATGTCAACCTTTACAGGACTTGCCCTCTGGTGAATAAACATCCCTATGGAAAATCACCATTTAGAACAAATATTCCTATGATTCCCATGATTATTCACATGGTTATTCCCATGACTATTCCCATGGTTATTCCCATGAAATTCCCATGTTTATTCCCATGATTATTCCCATGGTTATTCCCATGAAATTCCCATGCTATCCCCATGATGTTCCCATAATATTCCCATGATTATTCCAATGATTATGCCCAATATTATTCCCATGATATTCCCAATATTATTCACATGATATTCCCATGATTATTCACATGATCATTCCCATGATATTCCCATGATATCCCCGTGATTATTCCCATGATTATTCCCATGATCATTCCCATGACTATTATTATTCCAATGATCATTCCCATGATATTCCCATGATATCCCCATGATTATTCCCATGATCATTCCCATGAAATTCCCAGGTTTATTCCCATGATTATTCCCATGAAATTCCCATGTTTATTCCCATGATTATTCCCATGAAATTCCCAGGTTTATTCCCATGATGTTCCCATAATATTCCCATGATTATTCCAATGATTATGCCCAATATTATTCCCATGATATTCCCAATATTATTCACATGATATTCCCATGATTATTCCCATGAAATTCCCATGTTTATTCCCATGATTATTCCCATGGTTATTCCCATGAAATTCCCATGTTTATTCCCATGACTATTATTATTCCAATGATCATTCCCATGATATTCCCATGATATCCCCATGATTATTCCCATGATCATTCCCATGGTTATTCCCATGAAATTTCCAGGTTTATTCCCATGATTATTCCCATGAAATTCCCATGTTTATTCCCATTCATTGGTGCATTGGTGGTTATGTCCCTGTTTTTTAAATGGGCGAAGTCCCAAACCCTCAGGCACCACGGAGCCCAGCGACCATGCCATTCTGCTGGGTGTCGACGCTGTCGAACACAGCACCTCGGCGGGCCGAACAGCTATGGACGCTATGGCGGGTATAAAACCAACCTCAAATATGGTCTATAATATAATGTATGTATATTTACAATTGTGTAGATTTAATGGTAATAATATGGTCTAATATATTTACAATTGTGTAGATATATTGGGTCAATACTATGGTCTGATATATTTACAATTGTGTAGATATAATGGTAATAATCATGATTAGAATACAATTAAAGGTATATAATGGTAAAATTGTAGATGTAAAGTGTATATAGTGGATAATCTATATAAAATTATGGTAAATAATGTAAAAAATATAATGGATCACTGGTGTATAATGGTATATGTATAATTATGTAATATGTATGTATGTATGTAAAGTAATGTAATGTAATGTAATGTAATGTTATGTTATGTATGTATATATATATATATGAAACGAAGAATGTGATACAATATGTTGTTTGATCCCAGTTTCATGTTGCCTTGTTAAAGTGACATGTTGAGAACCCCATAAAGCCCTACTGATCTAAAACCTATCTATTCCAAGGTGTGCGGTTGAATCAATTGGAAGGGATGGACGCAAAATGCATCTAAGGATAATGTAAAGATATACAAAGGTGCCCACCCCAAAATACAGAAATGGACTTCTTCGACGAAATCGAGAGGTGGTGCGGTTGACAACATTGCTGGATTCCCATGGTCGCAGTGCCCTACTCAATCCGGGTAACTTAAAACATCAACTACTGACCGCATTTCCTCAGAGTACCCCACTTTTGTCTCCAAATGACCAATCATTTCTTCAAGAGATCTTTCGCAATGGTCCTAATGTTCTATTGGCATAATGATATTGATATACTAGTCTGGGTAAACTATTGAGCCGTTCAACTTGCTCCACCAAAATTGGATGCACAAAACATGTCCACCATTGTTTGGATACTAGTTAAGCTTGGGTAGATTGTATTAGTATGGGCGTAAATGTAAAACAACACTTTTTTTGTTTGCAAAATGGCTTTAGTATGGTTTAATCATGTTCTAATTGTTGATCTGTAATTGACCCCCACTGCAATCCCCAGGATATCAAACAGCGTTTAGGTTCCACAGCACTTGGCCATGTTGACCCTCACATTTACTCTCATATTCCAAACACATTAGGTTTGCCACATGTTTACTTTAACTATAAGACTTGACAACGACGATTCTTAATATCGAGCATTATCCTCATTTGATGGTGGAATTCCATTTCCTCCAATGAAACTGACCAATTAACCTCTGGTAGACGTTTACATAACTATGGGAAACCACTAGGCTATTAATGGGTAAATCCACTATAAATCACCATTTTCAATAGCTTTTTGTTTGTTTACCAACGGATGTTAGTGACCAAATATGTACAGAAAATCCCACGAAATGCCCTTGAACAATCAGTCAAAAATATCACTATGCATGGTTAAATCATGTTGAAACAACTGGTTGGTGGTATACCGACCCCTCTGAAAAATATGAAAGTCAGTTGGATGATGAAATTTGCAATATATGGAAAACCAAAAATCATGTTCCAAGCCACCAACCAGACAATGTAAAATCACAACTTTTTATCCAGTTGTAGATAAAATTTCCCATATATAGATGACTATAAACCACTATGGCCAGATATCACATGTTTGATTAGCTATTCCTATTATACTCCCCGTTGTTGGTCAAAACATACATTTCCCATTATAAGTTAATTTCCGATTGAACTCACAATTTTCTCCGGAACAACGTCGACATCTCTTGTATCTTCTTCAAAAACCACTATCCCACTATAAATCCTATAGATTTCCATGATATTACCCGATGAATATGACCATTGTATATTCATTTTCTTAGTTATTCCCATGATATTTCCAGTTTAGTCCCATTAAATATATTATCATATATTACCATATATTACCATATATTACCATGTATTACCATATATCACCATATATTCCCATTATATATTATCATATCTTACCATTGTATTAGTATTCCCAATATATTCACCTTGTTTCTTGGTTAAGTCCCTCCCAATCAGTTCCTGCCACGCAACGCAGCTGCGCTTTGTCCACCTTCTCCGGTCGCAAGCCGTTGCCGCTGGGCGTGGTGGGCGCGGTGTTGGGCCGCATCGCCAGCTGCACCGTTTCGGGCCGTGCCCTGCCGTAACGCGGCTGCGGTGGGGGATGGAAAACCCATGGGAAAACCATGGGAAAATGGTGATTTATATGGAAAATCACAATTTTTAATGGGAAAAAAGTGGGGTTTCTATGTCAATGGATTGGTTTTCTTAGGAAAATCTACAGGAGACCCATGGTTTTTTACCATGAAATGTAAGGGTTTCCGGTTAAAATTTTCCCATCATCCAATTCTGTGATTGTAGCAAATGTGTGCGAGAATATAGTTGTATACGTCGAATTATATATAGTGATTATGGAAAATCAAAAATAGTAATAATAACACTAATGATGATGATGATGGTGATGATGATGATGATGATGTATACTATGCGCATGTACTTGATTTTATTATATATATTTTTTAAAAAATGTACTTAATGACTTCTTTAGAGTACATTTGTATCTGGATGGGGACATACTAGTTAAGTTTGTAAGTGAGTGGTTCTGACAGAAATTGCGGCCATCCAAGTCCCATTGGTTACTTTTCCCTCGCTATGCTGACTTCCCGAAAGGTCGAGGAGTACCCACGAGGTAATATGAGGTAATCTAAGCACAACAAACCAGACTATTCTGCTTTCACGCCGCAAATAATCAGCAGTCCAAAACTGGAAACGTTCAAACTTTTGGTCGCTTGATTCAAAAATGTGCTGAATTATAATCCCGTGATTAGTCATAAATAGTCCCATGACCTCCCGGTAAAAGGTGGTGGCACAATATATATATATATAATATATAGTGACATATACATATACGTATGCATATACATATACACATACACACACATATATATATATATATATACATATACATATATATATATACATATACATATATATATACATACAAATTATAGGACCGGATAACCCCACATGTTACCAACTTCTCTGGACTTAGACTGCGCATAGAAAAGCAAGAAGGGAAGAGGAAGTATAAGAGTGATGGAGGGGTGATGGTGGGTGAGTTTGTGTGTGTGTAAGTATGTATGTGCATGCACAGGTGAGTGAATGAGAATGTGAGTGAGTGATGTGAGTGTGGTGTGTGTGAGTCGAGAGATGTGACAGTGAGTGAGGGAGGGAGGGAGGGAGGGAGGGAGCGAGGGAGGGAGTGAGTGATTGAGTGAGTGAGTGAGTGAGTGTCCTACTGCTTACGCCTGCCACGCAAAAGCAACGGAGCCCAAGGGACGCCAGGCGGAGCCAACCTGGCAGGTACATCCGACGCCCTGGCACTGGAGATTGTCCGAGACCAAGGAACGCCAATGGAAGGCCAGAGGAAGCCAGGGCGTACATCCGACCCCCTGGCAGTGGAGGCTGCCCCACGCCTGCATACGCCTGCCACGCAAAAGCAAACGCGGCGGAGACCAAGGAACGCCAGAGGGACGCCAGAGGGACGCCAGGGCGTACATCCGACCCCCTGGCAGTGGAGATTGTCCCGCTCCTGCAACGCAAAAGCAGCGGAGACCAAGGAACGCCAGAGGGACGCCAGAGGGACGCCAGGGTGTACATCCGACCCCTGGCAGTGGAGATTGCCCCACGCCTGCCACGCAAAAGCGGCGGAGACCAAGGAACGCCAGAGGAACGCCAGAGGGACGCCAGGGCGTACATCCGACCTTTTGGCAGTGGAGGCTACCCCATCCCTGCCACGCAAAAGCGGCGGAGACCAAGGAACGCCAAAGGGACGCCAGGGCGTACATCCGACCCCCTGGCAGTGGAGATTGTCCCACGCCTGCCACGCAAAAGGGGTGTGAGTGAGTGAGGGAGTGAGGGAGTGAGGGAGTAAGCGAGGGAGGGAGGGAGGGAGTGAGGGAGTGAGTGAGTGAGTGGGTGAGTGAGTGAGTGGGTGAGTGGGTGAGTGAGTGAGCGAGCGAGCGAGTGAGTGAGGGAGTGAGGGAGTAAGCGAGTAAGTGAGTGAGTGAGTGAGCGAGCGAGTAAGTGAGTGAGTGAGTGGGTGAGTGAGTGAGTGAGTGAGTGAGAGGGTGAGTGAGAGGGAGAGGACGGGAGGAGGAAGAGGAAGGCGGATACAGAACTAAAAACAAAAACCCCACACGTCAATGTGGAGAATATATATATAGATAGATAGATAGATAGATAGATAGATAGATAGATATAGATATAATTAAATATTACCACTCTGTCAAGCGGGAAGTTTTTCGCCTGAGAGCATTTATCGATTGGTAGATGGTGTGACGGTCTATGTCATTGAGGACTTAATGGGCCACAGCGTTCAAGTCTGTGCAGTTTCCGTAGCACTCTGAGCTGATCTGGCCAACGAATCCGATTCTCAGGTGAACCTTTTACAACGCACTTCCAGGCGCCGTTTTGGAACGATAGCAATGAAAGCTTGTTTGAACAACCGCAAAAGTGACCCATTTTGGATGATTTTGGAGTCCGCCTGGATTGACAACAAAGACCTGCACATCTGTGAAAGTTCACCATTTGAAAACTCAGCAGACCTTGCCAGCGAAAACTGCCACCATCCACGTAAAAGCCCACACCTATGGTGAAAATGATTCCTTAAACTTAAACCAACCACATGAAATGAGGAGGGTGGTAGCTATTCATTGCTTTATGTTGGTAGCACGTCTATGCATATGCGGTGTGTAAAATTGTTGCAGGCTGCCACCCATTTATACTATACTATACAACATAATAATACATGAAATCGTGTGTATATATATATACACCAGTAGTACCCGCACGAGGCGGGGCGGAAGTTGCCTTAGGGATAAATAAGACCTTTCTCATCTATAGAACTTGCATGCGCTGTGCACCAGCCAAGCCCGTGCGTGCGTGCATTCTGCGAAAGTGGTGTCCTGTTTCACATGTCACATTTGAAGCTCCACTTCGCACTTCGCACTTCACACTTCTCACTGCACTCTTAACACTCCACACTTCACGCTTCACACTCCACACTTCACACTGCACTCTTCGCACTCCACACTTCACACTTCACAGTCCACACTACACACTTCTCACTTCTCACTGCTTTCTTCACACTCCACAGACTCCACACTTCACTCTTCACACTCCACACTTCACACTGCACTCTTCACTCTTCACACTGCACTCTTCACTCTTCACACTGCACTCTTCACGCCCCACACTTCACACAGCACTCTTCACACTCCACACTTCATCTCATCTGAGCCCTTCTTACCTTATCCCAGCTCATCTCTTCTCATCTCATCTCTTCTCATATGTCATCTAAGCTTTCATGAATCACTTCCCAGTACTACTTAGAGAAAGTAAATTATATTATATAGGATACTTATATCACCTGATTTACGCATATATATATATATGTTGTATGTACATAGGATAATCGCTTGAATACTGCTCAATTACCATTCAGAATAGTTCCCAATAAGTACCATATAATGCTAACTATTGGGATGAAAATAATTGGTAAGATACCATAATTTATTTATTTAGATGCTATTATTGGGATTACCAAATCTCAAAAAAAAACAATACGTCCCAAATCCCAATTCTTGATGCTAATTATGGTATGAACATGTATGGAACTATTATGTTCCATGAATTCCCACTTTGGCTCAATTGGCTTTAACATCTATGAACCACGTGCATTAAACCATGTCAAAACATATAAAGCTGTGTCAAGTACCGTCTTAACTAGCTAAAGATATTTTATGGCAATATTCAGCCATATTAAACCATATTAAACCATGGATTTTCCATACTTTTCCATCGTTTTTTGTGGCGTTTCTCAACCCATCGTGGCTTTCCCCTTGGGTCCGGGTGGGGTCCCCCGCGTCATCGTGGGCGGCGGCGTCTTCCCCCGCTCCGGTGCCATCGACTCGGTGGCGCCAGCAACGGCCTGGCGCGGGAGATGATGACAATTGATCATAAGCTATTTACTATTAGGAAATATTATCATCATCAATATATCATATTAATCATAATAATAACCATAGATGATCCATCATTAGCAAAATGATCCATCATTAGCAAATAGTTATTATATAAGGAAATTGATCATTAGGAAATTGATCAATAGCCATAATATCAGTAGCTATATCATCAATACCTAAATGATATCATTAGGAAATTAGGACATATTACCCTCTGGTAAACTAACAGTTTGCTATTGAAAATGGCCATAGAAATAGTGGATTTTCCCATTAATAGCATGGTGATTTCCCATAGCTATGTTAAATTACCAGAGGGTAAAGCATATAGTTATTATATGTCATTGTGATAAGGTATTTATAAATATTTATAATATAGTAAGGTATTGACATATAGGTGATAGCATATGTATTGAACATAAGGCATTGATGAAATATAGGTATTGACGAGATATAGGTATTGATTATATCATAAGTATTGATGATATAGCTACTGATATTATAGGCATTGATTTATTATATAACATAAGGGATGATTGTTCCTATAGTATTCCTATAACATGTAATAAGTAATGATATAGGAATACTATAGGAACAATACAGGAATACTCTAGGAATAATATAGGAACAATATGGGGACAATATAGGGATTATATGAAAAACATGAGCAAATGTGCCGCATTTCATTCTACCCGTGCTGCAGATGTAGGGTAAACGTTGACATAGATGTGCCAAAGCCATAGCTTCCGGGGAAAGTGATCTACTTTCATGCGGGATTTTCCACATCGTACACGTTAACAGGAGGGCAACCATCAAAAATGCCTGAAGAAAATGGGATTTCACCAAAATAATTCATGATTATTTAGTGATGATAAATAGAAAATTGATATTAATCCTTGGATATTTTCATATGGTTCATCACTACGAAAATCCCATAATAGTGGGACTAATCAATATGATATGATATTAAACTATATTAATAGTCATCACAAAAATATATTCATACCATCAATATGATACTAAGAAATGGGGACTAGCCATAGTCATTATATGATATGATAAAATTGCCGTTCCATGATCCATGATCCATATCGATCCCATAATAGTGGATTGAATCCCATGATGGGATCCCAAAACGCGGTTATGACATTGCCAGTTTGCCATGGAAGCCATCTATTTCGATTAGGGCAATCTACACCATGGCGAACTGTTCAATCACCAGAGGGTATGAATAATCATACAGTGATAGTGAATAATTATGAATCCATATCCATGATGTATGAATAGTGATTGACCATATTTTTTTCGCATTCTGATTGATCCCATCCTCCGACAGCGGCGCCTGCGGCTGTCGCATGGAGACCCGGAACTGCGGGTTGCGATACCAGGACAGCATGGGAGCTTTGCTCTTGAAGCGACCGCCACCCATGAAGAGGTTGAAAGGTCTCTCCTGGCAAGGCGCAGCAAGGTGGGGACCGTCCCGGGGTCTTGTTCGACTTGTTTTTGGATGTTTTTGGTACCAAATAATCATATTGTCATATTGTTAATGTTCAAAAAAAACAGCAAGCCCCCAGTCCTAAGATCATGACATATCTGATTATCATGGCTAATCAAAACATATGGCCAGTTCATATGTAGTGATAGAAATTTCTCTGTAAACTTCAAATATACACTCTGTTAGCTGTTGATAGTGGGATGGACCTTATCAATAAGATCTGAAACACACTAGTTAACTAGTTCATATATGTTCATATCCCATCTCCAAGTTTTACAGAACATCATGACTAATAGTAATTTCCAAAACAACACCATTTTTACCACTGTAAAAATGGTGGCCCCACAGGGTACTGTAAAAATGGTGGCCCCATGGTCCATGATGGACCGAGATCCAACACAGTGGCAAAACTGGGGTCCATAATTTCGACCCAGAGGTATCAGAAACTTGGTGGCTACCTATTCCTAGGATTTTTTTTGGACATGTGTCATGTGTTAGAAAGAAAATTCGGAAGGAATAAGCCTGAAATGAGCTTCAGATGATCATATTCCAAAGAACCATTACTTGACAATCACTGTTCCAAAAAATAAAAAGCATCAAACAACCAGATGGCACTGCAAAGGCCGAGGGATTAACGTTCAAGTCGAGGAGGGCGAGTAGGCTCCGGAGGTCTTTCCAGGCCCCTTTCATTGGCTCTCTCGAGCGGCCAGGACCGTAATTCGGAGCACCACGAGCATCCGACATGGCTCGACCACGCGAAGCATACCCAAACCAGATGGCAATCATTTTTCTTATCCAACGAAAGCCATTTTGTTGCTTTTCCATCTCCAATGATTGAGCAAAACCCAGATGATATTGCTGTTTTTGGAGAAACAAACACCCGCCTTGGAAATTACCACCATCGACTTTACAACATACAAACAACTTTTACCGCTCTGGGAAAAATATGGGAAAATAACCTGCACCCCCTGGCAATTTAGCATAGCTATTGAAAATAGCCCTTCCTAATTAATTTCCGTATTGAACATGGGGATTTTCCGTATCCGTTAGTTTACCAGATGGTCACATCAATCCAAAAAAACCTTGTAGCCTTGAACAGTGCGTTTCGCGAGGATTTATATAACACCCCACATTTTATATCCACCTTTTTTCACCCCACATACCCTCTAGCATTTTAACATGACTATTGAACATGGCCATAAACAAATGAATGACCTCTTAAGATTGGTGACTTTCCAAAGCTATGTTGGTTTACCGGAGGGTACTATCTGGTAATATCATTGTAATGGTTAACGTTAACCATGGTTGATGATATTTCTGGTATAGCTATGGTATAGCTACCCCAAAAATCCCCAAAATAGATACCCTCTGGTAATTTAACATAGCTATTGAAAATGACCATTTATAGTGGATTTTCCCTTTATAAATGGTGATTTTCAATAGCATTCAATAGCTATGTTAAATCACCAGAGGGTAAACCAGTTGGAAATTTCGCTGCTCTCCTGCAGCCACTTGAGTTTGAAGCTCTGGTTGGACTGCCGTGGTTCGCGGAAGTTCCCCGGGATCCTGGCGCCGAACTTTCCGGCTGAAAACCATTGGGTAAACAGAATGAGAACCATGAAAACCCCATGAAATCATACTTGGATCATGGTTATATCCTCAGGGTCTTATTCTGGTATAACCATATATAACCCATGAATATCCATGAATTTTATAGGATATGATCATGGTTATATCCAAGCCATGATCATATCCTCAGGTCCTTTTTGGAATCATACGACTGGATCATAGCTCTCCAGTTTCTGGTGGATCATAGCTGACGAAAAATGTCCAGTTTCCAGGTGCCAAAAGAGGACAGATCCCCTGGTTCGCAAAAGGTGGCTGCTTTTGTTGCTAAGAGTTGTTCATTTTAAGTTTGTTTAATTAAATGCTAAACCTGGTTGGTGGTTTCAATCATCTTGAAAAATATGAAAGTCAGTTGGGATGATGAAATTCCCATATATGATGGAACAAAAAAAGGTTCCATACCACCAAACAGAAAGCCCATCTCATCCCCAAAAAGTTTCAGCATCCAAAATTCTATGCCTGCAATCCATCCAGTTTGCCAGCCTGAAGAAAGACCCCACCAGTCGATGAGTTTTTGAAAATGGGTTTTATACACCCCAGTTATGTCATGTTCAGAGGAAGATGATCAACCAGTGGATGGATCGAGGTCACCGATTTTGAAACAAACCAAGTTTTTCCTGGAACATGTGGATCAACTTCGGCCAGCAAGAAAACACATGAAATCTATCCACTTATAACTGGAAATGCATTTCGAGCCAAACGAACGTTCCAATTCTATCCCCCATAAACCACAGAGTTCACCAAGTTGCGTCAACGCGTCAACGCTCCGCTGCGCTCCTGATGACTTCCACACCTTCTGTGGCGGTGATGATGATGCGGAAAGCACCCAACTCCTGAGCTAAAGGAGTGTGGCTGTAAAATACACGAAGTTTAACAAGACAATATCTCCCGGTTAACTTCAAAAAAATGGGGAGATACTGTTTAAAATCCACCATTTATTCAACAAAGGTCTAGAACTCGGGTTCTTTACTGGGGAGATCACCAAGCATCACCTGGGACGCCATGGGACGCCATAAACCAAGGCCATGTGAGGCCCGGCCAGTGATGTGAATGTTTAGTGACTCACTCCATACTAAGTTGGGATGAATATTCCCATATATGATGGAACATAAAAAATGTTTGAAACCACAAACCAGCTATAGTATACTATAGTTATAAGTAGCAGATTAAGTAGCATAAACCATAGTGAAATTGGGTGTTCTTGAAGTTATGTTCACCAACTTAGCTACCGTTTCGGGGCCCACTTTGTATACGTCGGGCAAGTAGGGTGGATCCTGAACTGCGGTCATAGCACTTCTTGGCTCATTACAAAGCCAGTCTCTGACACCCAAAATTTTGTTTTAAGCTTGTCAAGCTCATTTTGACATATTCACCATGAATCACCAATAAACAGAAAAAAATACATTCCATTTTCGCATGACATATCCCATGTTTACCGACATATCCCTTTTTTTTGACCGCAAAGTCCCTTATGTTTCCCAACTCGCGAGTCGGGTGATCCCTCAAGTACCATCACATTCAGTTCCTGAAGAATTGAGAATTGGGATTTATTATACCGTTTCTGTGGAAAAAAACACATTTTAAGATGGTGATGTTTCACATATTTAACATATTTAACAGAGATATCTGAGATACCTACCATTTACAGAGTTCTTTCTTGATCAAATCAGCTTAAATCCCATTGAAAATTCGCTGCTGTTTCCCATCTTATCCAAAGGCGCCGAGGCACGCCCTTGGCTGCAGAGGGCACGATGAAGTACGGCTGGGAGCTGGGAGGTAAATCGAACTCGCAGTTGGGGATATCGTCATCCTCCTGCGATGCGATGTCTACGGAGGACCATTATATGTGTAAAAAAAATGACCAAATCGATATAAGTCTAGATTCTAGATATCATCATATATCTACAGTATGACATGATATAACATGTATATATCTTTAGGTTCTGGATCAAATATTATGTCTATCTTTATGTTAGATACAAATCCAGAATTTTGGAGTTCATGTCCTCTTCAGGTATGTGGGTATGTGGCCATACTCATTGGAGTGATATCCCAACTACTGCGGTTTTTACTCACCTCGAATCCCAATTTTCAACCATTCCCAAACCACCTTAAATAGGAAGTGGGTAAACTTAAATGTGATATCATACTCCAGTTATATGCGGAATGTCCCCAGTCATATATAGGTCATAAACATTCATAAACCACTTAGGAACAGTGGTTTGCGCATCCGGTCGTATTTGTGACACCATCCCCAAACTGTGAAAAACCCAGATAATCGCCCATCTTTGGCTGAGGCTATTGTTGTTGGACAATTGCATGTGTCAGATTGTGTCAATATATATATATATATCAGTCATCATCTGCTAGACATGTTCATGGTTTAAGACTCAACAGCGTGTTATTCATCTGTCCCCATCTTCCATGGTTGTGTTTCGGTTTACCATTTCACAAGAGGCGACTCCTCCAAATGCCAGTCTAAAAATACAGCCGTGGAGAATCGCGCTGATGCTGGCAGAGAAGTTCAATGAAGCTTCCACCATACCAAGCATGGCATTGTCCCGTGCGAGGTCTTGATGCACAGCGCTCCCACCATGTGCGTTACTGGCTTCACACAATGCGACGATATGCACGTAAGAATCCATGATGGGAACTTCTCGTTTCCGCCAATCAACGGCTGTCTATTGATGGCTCCAAGGTTGAGTGTCAAAAGCGCCAAATGATAAAAGCCTTTTGACTTTTACAAGCATTGTCCATCGTTCGGATCTTGCTTGCCTTGATATCACCCATGCTCAAAAGAGAGACCTATAGATTTCAAGAAGGCCAACATATTATAAAATATTCATCGTCTGAAAAATGATCGTCCTGACAATCCAACAGAATCTGGTTGGTGGTTGACCTACCCCTCTGAAAAATATGACTTCGTCAATGGGGTTGGGATGACATCCCATATATTAATATATGTGAAATGGAAAATGATCCAGTCATGTTTGAAACCACCAATCAGTGATTATTAGCCATTAACCATGATTAACCATCATTAACCATCATTACCCCATACATTTCACCAATGTTCCAAATTGGTGGTCTCCAAATTGGAAGTGGCGATGAGCAACTTAAGGGACAGCAGGGACTTTTTCCGCTCCCAGAGTTGGACGAAGGATTTGGCAACCAGATGCAACTCCTGCATTTCATGATGACCACATGTTAAAAAAAAACAACAAAAAAGCAACGTTTCCTCTGGAGTTTCCTGTAGATTTTGGCACAAATCAATCCATTCTGTTTGTATAATATCCATTAATATCCCACTTTTCATGTTTTTTTTACCCAAGGGTTCCTTATAAATTTGAATTATCCGACCTTTCGAAAAAAGAAAAAAACTGATCCCAGATTAGGATGATAGAACCATTTAAGCCAGAACCGCCAATCAAAAATGGGCTTAAGAACCAGGGTTCAACCGTAAATCTTCTCACAAACCAATCCATGAAATCTCATTAAACTCCCACTAAATTCCATTCCGTTCCAATTTTCCTAGCCTATATGTTTCAAACCCTGGTCCAAAAAAAACAGAAATCCTGCGGAAAAACATGGGAAACACCATGGTTCTCTGCAGCTTTTCCCAGGACAACGAAGCGAACCACCCACCCCAAGCCGGTCATGCGAGGAGGCCACCACATCGAAGCCGGGCATGAGCATGTGCGCGGCCCCCGCTTCGTGCACGTCCTAGTGGCTTAAGCATCAAATATGGTGGTTATTCAGGGTTAAACCCCATGTGATTGGTCAAAAACATTATGTTAACGCTGGTTTAACCATGAAAAACCAGTGGTTTAACATGGTTTAACCATGACATGTTTGTAAATAATGGTGGTTTAACCATGAAACATTGGACCTTGACCAAGCAATTGGTATGAACCTACGGGGAAAAAACATAGTTTACCAGGAAAAGTGGCGGGGAATACCATCAAGAAGTTGGTAGAAAACAATTGTTCCACATTGCGAAATGGCACAAGAAATAGTACTTGGGAGAGAGATAATGGGGAGATAATGGGATTATAAACAACCTGACTGGGTTTAATGGGGCTTCAACAAACAAACCAAATTGGTACATTAGTATAAATGGACTAAACTTTAGTAGCCTTTGTGTATATCCTCATTTTGGTAGGGGGATATCCTGATAACGGTTTTTGGATATATCGACCAATCGGTCGATCAGTGGATAAGAGTGGTACAAAAACCAATCTACAAACCTATTGCATATAGAATCCCTATAGAATCCTTATAGAATCCCTGGGCAAACTATACAGATTTCCCTGAAAGGTGTGGGGATAGCTACCCCTTATTGTCCAGTAGAGTGAGGTCGTGAAACTGAATCAGCAGCGACTTTGTCACCACCATCTCCGTCACATGGCATAACACCCCGTTGAAAAAATCCTACCAGTGACTGACTTACTGGTGCTAAGTCCGTAGGGAATGGATGGGTTGCTGGGGGTTGCTGGGATTAAAAAAATGATAGCGATTTAGCGATTATGCATCATTCACGGAAAAAAAACCCGGCGTTTAGCACCAGTGAGGTCTGTAGGTTACCCATTTCTCTTCATCAATAATTATCAATTTTATATAATTTTATAATCCTAGGATATCCTAGGTTAACATACCCCCACCCATCCATTCCCTTATCATAGCCCCATCAACCCCCATTGCCGTTGGGCCGTTGGTTGCGCGCCTTGTTGTTCTTCACCACGTGCAATGCCATGGAGGCCGGGAAGTCTCCGGCTTCCGCCAGGGCGATGGACCTAAAAAGGAAAACTCAGCGACTCAGCGAAATCGCAGAAAAGAGGGGGGTTCACCAAGAAAACTTACCCTCTGGTAAACATACAAAAAGCTATTGAAAATGGCCATCTATAGTGGATTTACCCATTGATAGCATGGTGATTTTCCATAGCTATGTTAACGTTTACCAGAAAAATTAGGCCATCAAAATGGCCCAAAATGGCCCAAATGTCATATTTGTGAAAAATACTTTTGGAAATCAGGGAGTGATTTTGAGGCAGCAAAAACGGTGTTTTTCCCCATCTAAATTCCAGGAGAAAACCGGTAGTAGGTTCCCCATGGCTATACCTTAAAAGTTGGATAAATCCAGTGGCAGGAGCTGTTCCAGTGACCCTTGTCATAGCTGTCTCAGATCTGCCATGGCTGCCATATAAAACATGAGATTAGAGTACTACCAACTCACTATATAGTTGTTGCGTAATGTGGTTAAAAACAATGCCATGTTTACGACCCATTTGGGAATGGTGTGTAGCACCTATAAAAACGGTGATTTGGAAGATTGTTTATGACATTGTTTTCACCACATTACTCATATTTTTTTTATGGTTTACTCAGTTCACTCCCCATCTGTTCTTTGGTTAAGCCATGATTGGATGGTTTGCCCTGGCTGCCATTGTTCATACTGGAAAACATCTATGAAATCACCGTCAATCCAATAGAAAGGGTGCATGAAAACCCATCATATCCCCGTCATTTTATTGCTGTAAATTCATATCATCATAGTTCTCAAGTCATCATACATCCTCTGCTAAACCAGCATAATTGTGGAAAATCACCATTTTTAAAAAGTAAATCAACTGTAAATCGCCATTTTCAATAGCTATTTTGACATAACCAAAGGGTATCCCCATGGTTGCCGAGCGGCACTCGAACTCCAGTTGCACTACCTGAGCAATGGACAGTGGTGGAATCCCAACTTGACTTTAATGGTGATATCATAATTAAACATATAGTGAACCATATTTTCCATTATATCACCATGATATATATATATATAATACATATATATATATATAATATATATATTATATATATATGTATATAGTTTTCACCATATGGTGATTAAATACTTGATATAGTGGTATTCAATAACCAAGTAATATAGTTCACCAACTTGATATGATATTTGGGTCTCTCTATAAATGAGGAACACAAAACAAAGTGACCTTTTTTTTTTCGGGAAAATGATGCTGAAGAAGTTGGCCTTAAGGCTACCCATGGTAGCCTATTTTCAGAGAAACCTATATGATGATGATGTGCCCATATGGGAGTATAATAGAGTTAATATGATTTAACAATGTTTGCTATCATGTAACATTCAATGGACATATACAGTATATCTAAGAATTCTTAGATATCATCTTTATTAATCACTATAATTGTTACTCAATTATCCCATTAATCTCTGTTACCCTCCGGTTTTCTAAACCGTGGCTGGTTGGAAAAGAGATTCGTTCGATTCCGGAAATCCAGGGTAAATCGAATGGAGTGTCAAAATCCAAGCCATCGCTCAAAATTTCATGTTTAGATGTTAATTCCTAAAGTGGGATATGAATGATATGAATATGCGATTTTGATCAACAGACAAAGTGACTATGTCCAGGATTATCCTGTACATTACATTAAAATAGTTCATCACCCCATGAAGCTGGTGGTATTTACGTGATATGACTCCTTGCTTGAAAAAAATGAGCTTAATATATCACAGCGTTTGAACTATACACTCCCAAGAGATGTTCTTAGTAGCTGGGGTTGAACTCGGTACATACGAGTGATACGGGCTAATGATAACCTGGTATATTTCAGTATGATAACCTAAGCCACTTAGCAAAACCTCAACAAATCAACAAAGGTATTGTATTAGTGTGTATGTATACCATGAATAGTCATTACCCTCCAGTAAATTAACATAGACCCTGGCAGACAGGGGTTGAAAGACTAGTTTCCACTATTTTTTTTTTCAGGGTCTATGTTAATTTACCAGAGGGTAAATCTGTCAATATTTAAACACACCAACTAAACTATCAACCACTTTAACCTATTACCATCTCTCCAGCGTGGTAGATGAGTATTGGAAAATATTCTGTCCCATAAGTTAAGCCTAATAGCTAGTAACTATGATATATAGATCCAACTAATAATTCCCAATTAATTAGTCCATGTTAGTCCAATCAGATATCAAGTGGTAACTAGAAGATAAATCCCATGTATCCATGTTTTTCCCATGGTTTTCTTAAGTCATATATTTGATTCACATTGCATCAAGCCCAAAATCATAAAGATATGAACCATTAATCGAAATATCAATGGTTTGTACCTACTATAAATCCTATTGAAACCAACATTCCCATATTCTATTCCCATGAAATATCCATGGGATATGCCGGATATGCTCCCCATGAAATCCCGTTGCTTTCCCAGTTGCTCTTAGAGAAAGTCTTCCGCGTCTGCTTCGAATCCATGCGCGTCTTCTCCGGCGGCTTCTCCGGTGCCGTGCTGCCCGTGCTGCGCACCACGTAGCCTGGAGAGCGATGGCACTTTGGGGATGGGTCAAAAGCCTGGTACCCCTGGTGAACCCCAAGTCATAGCTGGGATTTATGGATGTGAATAACCCACTAAAAATGTATCTGGTATTGACCCATACCCATATATAGTCATGTTGGAGTAAATAGAATATTAGAATAAGTGTGGAAAAAAACCATATTTTATCTACTTGATTTGGGATGGTTTTTGGGGGTTCACATACCTTTTCAGATGTTTGTAGACGTATGCTCCATGGTGGAATATTTGCCAACATTTGGAGCCCAAAGGAAGATATGCGCAAAACCATGCATCGTAAGATTGCCAACAAACCATGAAAAATCAAGATTCGAACAATACTGGGGAGAAGACATTTAAAGACATCTACCCTCTGGTAAACTAACATAGCTATTGAAAATGAGCCATTTATAGGGAGTTTTCCCATTAATAGCATGGTGATTTTCCGTAGTTATGTAAACGTTTACCAGAGGGTATGCTAAAAGGATTGCATAAGGGCACTGTGACGCACAAACCTTTTTTGGGCTCCACAAATCCACGGAAGTTTCCTGCTGGAAACTTCTGCGAGTTTTCCACTGGATGGGGGGAGAGCACAACTTGAAGCAAAGGGAAGAAAGTAAGTTCATTCTTGTTGTTGTTGTTGTTGCTATAGATCGGGGTGTCCAATATGTTTTTTTATTATATATATACATAATATACCTGTTGGACTTATAGTTGATACATTCCATTTCACCCAAAGTAGTTCGATATTATATTCACATTATAGTTGCTTATAACTCCACAAAAATTGATTCCAAATAGAGTTGGTTATAAATCCGATACATAGGATCCTATAGTTGTTTATAAAAGATCCTATAATACTATATATATATATATATGTTTATACGTACTATAAACTACTATAGGATCCTATAGTTGGTTAACCTACTATAAGTTCCTTTATACTATATATAGTTGCTTGAAGATCCAATCGTCGTCCAAGGAATCTTGGCGCAACAGGCGCCACACAGCAGCAGGACTTTTGAATAGCCGGGTGCATTATGCAACTGATCTTTGATAGAGTCGTCATGTGCGTCCCGCATCTTTAGGGTGAAGCATGCTCCCAACCCCCGTTTCAGGGACGTGACGCTGGTGTTTGACCCAGAGGCCGAGTAGAGAGTTGTGTCACAAGGAAACGGACGAGGAGATAAGTGAACCAGACGAGATCCACTAAATATATGTATGATGTCATTTGAATTTACTTTTTCTAATTGAAATATTTTTTGTGACTCAATAATATGCGAGAGATTCTTTGGTATTCATTAATCCTTGAATTTTATACTCTAAGATTTATTGAATATATTTTGGTTCATATCTTTATTATTTTCTTAGTTGGTTTCCCTGCCATCGCCATCTGGGTGCTCCGTGCAGGGATTCTTCCGCCAGGTACTGGTCCCAAAGGCGCCGCCACTGGTTTCGATCAAGAACCTCAGCACCCAACGGCCAAAACGTAGGGCTTGAACGTGGAAGCTGCAGAATTTCTGGTGGTTTCATATATGGCTTATTTTTTTGGGAGTGAATCATCCTGAGTTCATGAAGATTATGGGAAAATGGTGAGCTATATTGGGGTTTAACTTCTGGATACGTGATAGGGTATCCTACTAGACTGGGACATCGCCAACAAATGATGGGTAAAGCAACTGTTTTGTGTATGCATCCATGAATTACACACCCGAATCTTTACATGGAACCGGGTACATGTCAGCCTAGTATCCAAGGTCGGCAATCCTTCCGTGGTGGATCCTGGTTTGAGAGAATGTGGGCCATGTTGAAAATTCATGAGATACGAAAATTGAAGAAATTCAAAAGAATCAAAACATGAATATACTTTCGAAAAACATGGTGCTCTTGCCTGTATCAAGACTACTTCCAACACTCCAACATTCCAAAAAAAAAGGGGATTGATTAATTATTGATTCATGGTAAATAAAGAATCAAAACAGCTGATTTCCCAACCTTTGTGGTTGTACCATGTTATACCTATAAACCTAAAATAGCTTGAAGCAATCAACACTGGGTATTGATTCGAGAATGGTACCATCATTACCATCATTGGTTCTTCGATGATATTCATATTTATGATGGTTTATATAGGAGATTAACACCATCATAAACTAAAGAATGATATAAAAAAAACATTGGATCACTATATGGCCACTATATATCACTATCTGGTGTTTATAATCTATATTGGAGAATATTCCATACCTTGCCAAGCCTTGCCATTATTTTTTGGGCATCGTTCCTCCTATGCAGTTGTTGATCATTTTGATTAAGCATGAGCCACTAACTCCGAAAGAAAGTCCCTTGAACCGCCATGAATTTCCATGCCGAAGCATTGGAAGGGCGCGGCGTTCTGCCAATAAAAAAAGGGAAACCAAGCGCTTTTTCGATGTGCCAGGGATGATTGTTGCAGCTGTTGGCTGCTTTGTCGGCATCCATAAAAATCATTAAAAAAAACATAAAAAAACAGGTAAATCCCATAGAAATCCACCCCAGGCCACCGTTCATCGAGCAGCTCGCCCTTCACAATGGACACATCGGTGCGCAGTCGGTTGATCTCTCCCTGCGGCTGGGTTCAGCCTGGGTCCCAACCCAATTGATATTACCACCATGGGGAAGATGGGATATAATAGGATTATTTATAGTAATAATAGTTATAATAGTAATAATGATATATGATATACATATATATATATATATATATGGTCACCCCCCCTCCAAGACCTACATTTTCAATTTTCTACTGGTTTTTGCAGTATAAAATGTTTTTTTTGCGTCCAATATGTTCATTAAATTTAAGGTCCTGGATCAAAGGGGATGGCCATGCACATTTTTATTGTTAATCTTTAATATCATATGCTTAGCACTAAAGGATACACAGTATATTATAAAAAATATATGAAACTTGTGTTTATGATATTTGTGAAGATGAAGCACGGAATGAACATTACATTGTTCTTCATTTCTTGTAGTTGAATGATGAAGCAAAAAGCATTGGATGTGTTGTGTCTGTTTTGGCGCAAGCAAACCTAGGCAAACACATTTTTTTCTCAGATAACAATGCAAGCAACTTGCTATCTTCTATTATATTACCTGTACATGCAACAGTTTTACAATCTATGTTGTCAAATTCATTACTTAAAGCACTAAAAGACGTAATTTTGTAATTAGTTTGGATGCAGTTTTGTAAATCAAAACTTTGCACATAATATTCCTGAGCATAAGCTTTTAAAATAACATATAGATTTTGTATGTTAGAGCCTATTTGTTTTTTAGCTCTACTGCAGTAGATGTCAAAAGTAGTAAAAACTATGGGCTTTTTGCGCTAGTTGTAAAACACATAGCTTGCGCGCAAGCTATTGCAACCATAATTCCAGTAAAACTACCAGAGCCTTTTGTGACTGCAACATAATTAATATCTGTATATTATATCTTTTTGTTTTTCCATATGTATCCCAATTGTCATACTCCTGTAGTTGGCCCACCGCCCAACTACAGCCCGAGCAGCGTCACAGCGCAGAAAATTCAAGAACACAAACAATTACTATGGTCCAAACAACAAGAGTTCACAATTACGTGTTCCAATCATAAAGTTATTTTTTTAAAAATAGTTCGCCGCGATGGGCATGGCATTGCAGTTTTGAATGCAAATTAGAGTGGGGAGTATATACACATCACAAATTTCAACCCCTGTAATTACGCATTTTAAGCTTTGCTAAAGTTGCAAGATTCTTGAACAACGGAATTGAGAACATTCTATGTGCTTGGGATGTTGGAAATGTCATCTCGTGCCACGGTCCGCTGTGACCGGTGGACTTAGTTAGTCATGACATACAAACATGCATATACATATCTCTATATATATATATATACATTGTTACATATGATCATATTATGCATTATATGTCATATCATATCGTATCATATCATATCATGCATTATATATTATATATATCATATCATATATAATTACTCATATATACTCATACATATTCAATGTTATTCAGAGTTAATGTATCACAATCCATAAATCCTCTCGCCTGAATGGCTCCACTGCGCCATTCGCCGCCGTTGCGCTCCTCGCCGGCCTTGAGCGCCAAACCTGGATCCCCGGATCCCAAAGCGTCCGTGCCATGGTGGTGGGAAAACCATGGAAAAACATAGGGATTTCCATGACACTTCACCCAGTTTCATCGAGATTTCACTAGGATTTTTTTGAATCAAAACTGAATTATGATAAAATGGAAGGATCAAGGGGACATGTGGTGGTTTAACCATGAACAATGGAGGTTTTAGTGGGAAAAAATGCGCAATTTTAATTGTCAAAACTTGGGATTTAACTGGGAAAAATGCAGTATGAGGGGATTGAATTTGGGATTCACCTGAAAAATGAAATGACATGCTCAAAATGGTGGACATGAGATCCACACTGTCAAAAATGGCGAAAAAAGCATCCATTCTGAGGTAGTGATGATATAATTTGGATATGGATATCAAAGGCCAACAAAATGCGGATATAATGGGAAATGATGGGATGTAATCCAAGAATATTGAAGATAACTTTAACATACTTTAACATACTTTAACGATAAATAATCGGTGTTATGATATGAGATAGAAATTCAAAATCGGGATGGGATAAATTCAAGTGAAGGCAAAACATGTGGAACATTCAGCCTGGTAGAATGAAATGAAATCGACCTAAAAAAAGGAATATTCGAGACTACCAACAACACATGGAATACAAAACAGCAACCATGGAGCTTTGCTGATCTAACAAAACATGATGGATATCATGAAAAAGTAGATCACATTAGGGGTATTGAAAAAACATGATCTGGTTGGTGGTGTCAACCCCTCTGAAAAATATTAGTCAGTTGGGATTACTATTCCCAATATATGGAAAAAAACATGTTCCAAACCACCAATCAGAGATGGATTTAGTCAACTGTATCTCGACCACAGAATCATGTTATATCATGTTTATCACCAATTTTTCTTACAAACCCGGTGAAGATTGACCTGGTTTTGCCAGCGCCAGGGATGCCAGGGGTCATTCTTCACTAAAAACTTCTGGGATTTCCGGCAGGTGATAAATGCCAGTTTTATCGCTGGAGATGTGCCATTTACGAGTAGCAACGGCTCGTTGGTTTAAAACGCTTTCCGAAATAGGGTACCGGGGACCAAATCCCATGGGTTTACAATGGTTTTCCTGATTAAAAGACCATAAATTCCCATAGGATCCATGGTGCTGGTATATATATGCTAACATTGGGGATATATTGATGGTAAATGTTACCATATATAGCATACATGGATCCTATGGGATTGGGTAGCTCCTGATTTTCAGACAATGATATCCATTATCCATCGCTCTTGAAAAACACCGTCCTTGATTCGGGAGATATTGGCAGAATGGAGTGAAAGTCAGATGTACACGAGACAGAAAAACTTTGGGGTGATGTTTCCCCATTGTTTCCCCATTTCCCAAGAATCAATCCATTCTGATAGGGATGCTCCAGCATTGGATGATCTCTGGAGGATATCATCATCCCATTTTTATGGAACATGAAAAATCTTACCACCAAGCAGGTTGTTTTAATCCCAAAATAACATTCTAAATACCAAACATTATCATCCCAAAATACAGTGATACACCAAATCAACACCACAACTCCACAACTCGGCATAGGCATGGCTGTAAAAACCACCTATTTCTGGTCAATTGTCTGAAGCGCAAAACCACCAGAAATTTACCAGCAAAAACCCACCTCGATGGTAGAGCGCGTAGGCCAAGGCGTACTTCCCGTTACTGCATGCATTCCTGGCTGTGGGGGACACACTTTTCAGGATGGGTACCAGGCTCAGGTGAGACCCCTTAGTGATGTTTGTTTTGTTTGTTGGTTGAGTTTCAGCCCATTAACTGTAGATACCCGCAACGGTGTCCTCAAAAGTAACTGGCTGGGAAATCTCTTATAAATAGAGGTTTTCATGAGAACATCATCTAGAAATAGTGGCTGTCCCATTGCTACGTGTGACTATCGGAGGGTATATCTCCCATACATCGCAAACTCAACTCAGGAACAACACAAACCCGTACAAGCCAAAACCCAATAAGTGAATCCGTATGGAAAAATCTAAATTTGGCTAATCCGTCTTTGGACATTTTGAATTTCTTTTCCTCTTCCCAATTGCTTTCCCAAACATCCCAAACATGGATCAAGGTAAACCAAACATGGTGGCCATTGATTTTCTGGTTGGTGGTATACCTACCCCTCTGAAAAATATGAGTTCGTCAGTTGGGATGATTATTCCCAATACATGGAGAAATAAAAGTCATGTTCCAAACCACCAACCAGTTTTGGGTTTCTTTAGATTTAATCAGCCAATATGGGACCCTGGAAGCCTAAGATATTCCTACGATTCCACCAATTGATCCTGACAGGAAGCCTCCGCTTTTTCTAAAATTTAAAGCCAGCCTTGCCTACAAAAAGGTAGAAGCAACCCCAACAAATATGCTGAGAAATCCCATTAAATAACTCATCAACCCACTATTTCATAGCACAATGACCATTTTTTCACTGAGAAAACCACTTGTTTAAACAGTGCAAATCCCCGTTGAATGAACATTCCCTGTGTATAAATTGTTCTACCATCAACAAAAACAGCATTTAGTTTGGGGATTTCCCACGAAAACCATGTCATCATAGCCTCCCACAACCAATCCTCGTATCGTGGTTAGTTACATCCAATGACATATCATAATTTTGTTGTTGTGTTTCCCATTAGTTCTTATACTTGTAAAAATATTGTGCTTGATATATATATATATATTTTTTAGTTCTTACACACATTTAAATATTATATATATAGATCCTAAAAATACTTGGTTGGTCTAGATGCCCTCAAAAACATTCATTGATGGCATCCGTCTTTTGAATGATTAAAGTACGTTCAATCCCCTCATTTTGGCTGGATAAATATCTATTCTTACTGTAATGGTTAAGGCGCATCAATAGTATACCCTCTGGTAATTTAATATGGCTATTGAACATGGCCATAGCATAGTTGATTTACCAATGAAAAATGGTGATTTTCCATAGTTATGTTAGTTTACCAGAGGGTATCCCATTCATAATCATTTATCTGGGTAAATTATGATAATTCACTATAACCTGAAATAAGATAAATAAGGCTATCTTGGGCTTGGGGATGTTTCCCCGCAATCTAAACATGATTATGGTGAAGTCGTTATAGCAAACTCTTAGCTTACCAGAGGGTACATCCCACTATATCCCACGAAAACCACCACGTTTCTCGCACCTCAATGCTGAGGTCACAAAGTCCAGTTTCTTCTTGCGCAGCCGGGCGTAGGGCTCCTCCACAAGGCTGTGACGAGTCTCAAAAAAAACAACGAAACGAGGGAACGCATATGATTTATAGGGATTTAACATGATTTAACCTACCATTTATTTTGAGATAATACAATATATAATATGATATAATAGGATTTCATGGTGACATGTCAATGGGGAATCCCATATACATGGAGGCTTTAATTGGAAAATCATCGAGCAAAAAAAACGGGCATTTTCCGTAGCCTTTTTTGATTGCTAGAGGGTAGCCCGAAAGGCAACGATTAATGGGGAAAATGATGAACCAAATAGATTTTAAGGGTGCCTCCGAGACAAACCCAGATTGGCGAAAAACACATCAACAAAACAGGTTGTTTTTACCTTGATGGGTCGCAGTTTCAAGGGGAAATCTTGTCACTTTGGAAAAATCACTATTCAAGTCCTACAATAGCTGGTAAACGTTTACATAACTATGGAAAATCACCATGCTATCAATGGGTAAATCCGCTATTTCGACTGGGTCATTTTCAATAGCAAACTGTTAATCTACCAGAGGGTACAATAGCTGAATCATGGTGAATAGTGGCGTTTCAGCCATCTTCGGCCGTACTGTGATCCAGCTCCAGCGAATCCTGTCGTAGCCATTGCTAGCTTTGAAGGGACCTTAAGATACATGGTTTCACATGGGAATTTCAGAATCATAAGAATCATATGGTTTCATACATGGTTTCAGTTTCAGCCATCGAATCATCTGAGATTTGAAGAACCACATGGTCGAACGACAGAAGTCGCTTCTGGTGACAGTTTCAGTGATGTTTTTTTCTTTAACATGATGGGAAAACTCCTGCAATGCACTGTGTCATCATCATGTTGGTTGTGGCAATTTTCATGGTTAGATTCACCATTGTGAGGCCCACAGCCGCCACAGCCTAATGGCTAACGTAACTGACCATGACTTTAAAGCAACAAATAGGAAAAAACAAAGATGAAACAAAAGATGAGAAAAGATGAGAAAAGATGAGAAATATGAAGAAAACACAGGAAAGGAAAACACGTTGGGGCCGTGACCGACGGCGCTCCCGGCAAACAATTTGGTATTGGAGCCCCGACGGCTGAGCCGTGAGCCATCCCCATTAGACCAGTCATGCGGATAGGTAACTAGTACAACCCAATCACCAGACCACAAACGAATCACCAGGTAGGAAAAACAGTTTTTGTATCGTAAGCCTCACTGCATTGGTGATGTTTAATGAATCTTTGGATCTATCCCAATTGTAGTTGGCCCAATATCGGTCAGTAAAGAACCACTGAAACTAATCATCTGCAAATGTTCAACTTCACCACAACAAGCAACGGGCCCATTTTCATTATTGTAGACATGGTAACAAAGGGCACCCCAACACTCCCCTACACCCACCGATACCCACCGTCAGCCCCCACCTGCAGCAGATCTGGCGTGACACTCGCCTCATCACGATTGGGGGATCTTCATATCCAGAAATCAGAGTTCGTTGGGGATACACAATGCATATGCTGCATATCAGATAAATGAATATATATATATATATATTATGATATTTAATGTTAGTTAGCAGTTAATCATACAAATAACATGTTTCATAAACTTAATTTATACATATAAAAAAATAATATAAATATATAATATGCATATCAGTAATACGTTCATGAACATTGTGGGATATTAAAAATTTTTAGGCTGTTCTCCACAAGATGCCGGGCATCCCACGGCATTCCCATGGTAAATCCCCAGGTGGCAACCTATAGTGAAATTGGGCTGTGTTATCTGTGTTTAGTATTAGAGGGAACGGATTATCATGCTAAGAAAACAACAAACAATTTATCAATCAATTATAATTAATTCATGTTGATCTTGTTGCTTGTGTGCTGGTCCCATGTTGTATCATCCCATTACATCAACAGTAATTCGCATGGATATCCCTCTGTCGTTGGGCGATATTGGCGTAGCTCTATGACTCTATGAACCCTTGGTACCTTGAACCAAACCCAAGAAAACTAGTAAACGTATCCCACTGTATCAAAAGTATGTCCACAACTTCTCTGATATTCTCTGTAGATTCCATTCTCTGATCTTCTTATCGCGTGATGTTTCCTTGCATGATTAGTATATCCCATTCTTTTATCCCATCTCTATGGGCTTCAATCGGAAACTCTTCTCTTCATAAAAAAATGGCAAACCAACATTTTCATTATTTTGCCATGTGATTTTCCTGGCGAACTTAGCATTAAACATGACGATATGATATACCTTGTAAAAATCATCCATGACATAGAGGATATCTATGATCTTCCCGCGCAATATACCTGGTTTTGGGAGTTACTTGGTCCATCTTTGGGAGCATCGACTATCATACACCTGGTTCGCTAAGTAGAATGAGTAGGATAATTTTTAGACATGTTATGACTCACATGGTGGTTTCCTGAAATAGGCCTATCCCCAGTCATCATCCATGTTTGGAATTTTCCATGAAATTAACCAGCCATTTTTCTGGTACCACCACTTATCATCATTAATCATCATTAATCGCCATTATTGGTTTTATTATTGATCATTGTGCGTCATGGTGAAAAAACGTTTATTGACCATTCATCATAAAAAAAATCTGGAAACCTCCCATGGTTATGGACCCCATGTTTCACCCACGGCCGGCCGTTGATTCACCGCGCCTGGCGCGCGGCCGTGATGGAAATCAGCAGATCCTTCAGCGGCGTCCCGCGCTCCGCGGCCAGCGCCAACGCTTCGTCCAGGACCTTCTGACGCCTACGGAAGGCGACGGACGCGGCCCTGAAAAACGCCGTAAAAACGTTGGGAAAGCACGCTTGAAATGGATGGTTTAACAGTGATCAACAAATTTGAAGAAGATTCAAAATAGCATTGAACAATTGAAAATTGAGATTTACCAAGTGACCTAAGAGAAAACAGTAGAGCGTAGGCACGGAATGGCTGTACAAAACAGGCAGAAATTTGAGGTTTGATCATAAAAACAGCTTCATTGGAGTTTCATGGTATTGCTGCTTTGTATGCGTTGATCAATAGTTGATGCCTAGTCTATCAAAATTAGAGGTTTGGATGTGCAGGACCCAGAAATGGCAAGTGGTGAACAAGAAATGCATATAAGTGGAGATATCCCAGAGATTGGGTGAACTAGCCGTGGAAGGAGGAGACTGATGGCGGTGACTATCTAGTACAATGTACAACATATTTTTGTGCACAGGATACAATAGTGCGCATACCATCCGGTAATCAAACACGGCATTGGAAAATCCATCATTTTGCTCGATGATTTTCCCAGAAAAAACCCTCCATATTTCTGGGACTTCCCAGCCACGTTTTATTCCAGGAGGGCAACCATAGGAAGATGCACGGTGCCCGTCACTTTCCCCAGTTCCATAAGGGTTCCATCTATCATAATTTGTCACTATCTATACGCCCAATATCGGGCTTTCTAGAACGCCATGATGTTCCCATCAAAACGCCCCGCTTTTTATTGTCCCATCGGCCCATCAAATGGCGACATGAATTTACCCATGAATTTTCCATAAGGATTCCATGAAAACATCGCGGCATCAATTCCATAAACCACCCATCATAAAATCCAGACAGTACTGTTATTCCCATGTCGACAAAACCCAAACAAAAATCCCAAAGATTTGGGTATGGGTCAAAATTCTAAACAAGAAAATTGAAAGCACCACATGGCTTACTAACTATAGATAGACTATATACAATATATACATAATTATTCAAGTTGGTATCTATAGTTAACTCATATTAGATGGTTTCCCTATGGTTTTCCTATGGTTAAATCACGATTTCCCTATGGTTTTCACTTCGCTCCTTCTCCGGGATTCCGGCAAGCCTTTCGGCTTCCTCTTCCAGGAGCCCTTGGAGCTCCATGGCTTCCGGCAAGCCTTTCCTGGGCGGCTCAACAGCAGTCATTTTTTCATAGGCAAACTAAGGAAAACTATGGAACTAATGGTTGTTTTCCTTAGTTTTGGCATTTTGAAACTATGGAACTAGGTATTTCTTCCATGCTAATTGAAGAACTATGGAACTCACCAAATTAACACCAATGACCAATGGTTGTGGAAAACATCACATTGGAAAACTGCGAACAAATCTTCTAAATAACAATGGAAAACAACGTAGCACCATGTTTGATAGGTAAATCAACTATCAATAGCATTCAATGGCCATGTTTAGTAGCTATGTAACAAACTCCCAGAGACTACAACAAAGAATGGCGGTTCTAACTACAATGCTTTGAAGATGATGACCTATTGCCAGATTCTTTGCCACTTGTGATCCTCTGGTTTTCCTAATGATTCTACCATCGCCATGGCGATTTCAACTCTGGTGCCCAAAAAAAACCGATCCTTACCGTATTACTTCGTGGTTGATACACCGTTGCTTACCATTTGGTTATGACTAACATAGCCATGGAAAATCACCATAGAAATAGATGGTTTACCTATAAAAAAACATGGTGATGGCTTCCATGGCTATGTTAGTCATAACCAGAGGGTTTTTATCCAGTGCTACCCTTTGGGGGTTGGAAAAATCTGGGAAAATGGCTGGAATCCCGAGGCTCTTCGCTTCTTCTTGCGCGGACATCTGACATGCCTTGCGGTGAAGAAACGTGCGATTCGTCTGGGAAGGGGAAAACCAACAAACATCAGGATATCACCCATAGAAATCATACATCAACATGATGTGACCATGAAAAAAACACATTTGCTAACAAATGAAACACATCAACAACTGGACCGCAAACATCAGTCATGTTTTTGTGGGTAACCAATCCCATGTTGACACCAACATTTACCCTTCACCAATATCAATCCCATTAATCCCCCTACATTTTTGACATGGAAACATATGGGAAATCGGCCATATCCAGCAAAATCATCTTCAGGATTCCAGATAAATTTCGGTAGATTTCAGATATCTACCCTCTGGTAAATTGAAAAATGGCTATGTGAAACTAGTCAGTCTATACAATCTATTAAACATAGCCATGGAAAATCACATGTTCATAGGTAAACCATCTATAAATGGGCCATTTTCCATGGCTATGTTAAATAACCAGAGGGTATATACTTGGTTCAATTCTAACGGGGGTACCGCCACGAAGTCATAACAATCCCCAGAGGGGCCATTGAAAAAACGTTCACACTAAAAGTGGCTCGGAAACTGAGTCATTTGGTCAATGAGAAAATCAATATTCATCAACGAGAAAATCAATAACTATCCAAAATGAGAAAATAAACATCGCAGCTCATTTTGGATAAGGGGCGACCAGTTTGCCATCAAGATATATGGTTCTTTCCCACAAGATCTTGCTGGAACGCACCTCTAAGCCACAAAATGGCTCAAAACTAGCCCTTTCACCATTCACCAGTCGCTTCATGATCTTGCCTTCCAAAGTTCTGTTTCTATCACCATTTTATCCATTCAGAAATGGGCACATTTTCAGAAACCAGTGGTTCACTGGCCATCCATGTTCACCATTTTCCACAGCTGGGCTTGGAGTTGCTGAACTTACCCGGCCTGGTAAACGTTTACAGTTTGCGAACTTGAACATGGCCCAGTCGAATAGTTGATTTACCCATGAACAATTGTGATTTTCCAGTTCGCTATGTAAACGTTTACCAGAGGGTAATGAACCGCTCCAAAAATAAAAACATCTTCCTTCCGGGAAAGTCTCAGTGCTTCAGGCCAGCTCCTGAAAAAAGTGCTCCAAAATGACCACGTCTTGATATTCTTGACTGGTTGGTGGTTAAAAAACCATCTTGAAAAATATAAGTTCGTCAATGGGGTTGGGATTATCCCATATATGATGGAAAATAAAATTCCATAGTTCCAAACCACCAACCAGTTGATTATTAACCATTATTAACCATGATTAACCATCATTCACCATCATTACCCCATTCTAAACCAATGTTTGAAACCACCAACCAGTTGATGTGTTTTCCACTAGTGGATCCCACTTTCTTCACCCGGTTCCGCCGGAGATCCACCCAAAAAAAGGAACCCCGCCTGGATCGCGTGGCCTAAACGAATCACGCGGATGTGCACGTCTTCGGGAGACATCGGCAATCCTCCGCGGCGTCTCAGCGTCTCCAACCCCCAGCCCCCATCTTTGAACATAGCAGGGATGGTCACCCACCCATTTTCATGGGGTTGTAGCTATGAATCATACTATAACTAATAATATCTAATAATGAATCCCATGGATTTTTGGAATCCCATTGATGGTGTCCAGATTTGCTGAACATTTGCAACGACATCTTTTCAGACCCAGGGGTAAAAGCCATGGCTTCATGTAGACTTTCCCTCACGCCAATCCATTTTGACTGGTTCGAACCATGGACAATAGGACTAAACAGGTCTCAAGAGTGGGATCGATGAAGAATCAAGGAAATGGTAAGGAGAGAAAAATGAAATCCTTACTCCTCACCAACAATCTCTAGAAGATCTGATGAATTTCAATCATGAACCAGCAAGCTGATGGTATACCCAAGAACAACGGAGATATCAAATTTTCAGTCATAGTAAGAATCTGATTTTCCAGAAATGTGATACCAACAACATTGTCCCAAACATGTAGGGGACTCTTGTTCTCCTCGAGATGTAGTTTGGTCAAGGATATGCTAACTAGTCCTAGAAATCTCGTTGGATGTTGTCAGCAGACCCTCCAATTTCCTTGAAACATGGGACAGTGTTTTTCTCTTGGGACTACCACAACATTGTCCCATGGTTTCCAGAAAGAAAATCGTCCCGTCAGTGCTGGTCAAGGGTCGAATTGTTTCAGGCAATGAGCACATGAACACGTGCATCCCCGGCGATAATTATTGATACTTGGCTTACAACTCATATATGCATAATATATATTAATATATGATATATATATATTAATATATGATATATATATATATATATTAATATATGATATATATATATGATATATATAATATATAATATATAATATATAATATATATATATATTATATATATATATACATGTATATATATATATATACCACTACTACTGGGGGTCCCCGGTGATACTTGGTTTATAACTCACATCTAAAACATTTTGAAACCACTGGGATGGCACAACTGGTCTACAGGACATGGCAGGTCGTCGGAGGCGGATCCCCGAAAACCGTTTCGGATCCCCAAAAAACCAGCAGTCTTTGTCAGTTCAGTTCCTTTTCATGCGAATCAAACCCCAAATTTTACCCTCCAGTAAATTAACATAGACCCTGCCAGTTGTGTTGAAAGACTAGTTTCCACTATAAATTGGTCAGTTTCAGGGTCCAACTGTTAATAGCCATGGAAAATCACCATGTTTAATAGGTAAACCATCTATTTCGATTAGGGCCATCTATTTTCCATGGCTATGTTAGTCATAACCAGATGGTATCTAATTATATGGGTCATCGTTCAATCCACGGATTTTGTCGGTGAAACCACGGATTTTTCGTTGTGACTCCCCTGATTTTTGACCCGTTTCGAAGACCCGTCCTGCGATGATATCCTTGGCCTCCTTCACGGCCATGACGAAGGAACGCTCCGCGGCCAGCGCCATGCTGATGTCCTTCAAAAACCCTGCTGGGTTTTTATCAGAACCAGAGATGAGATAGATGGATTATGGATTGAATGGGACATTTCAATGGTGATGTTCATGAATTATCATGAATTATCCATATTCATCACCATCGATCCGTAGTTGCAGAGATGGATAGATGGATTGAATGGAAAATTTATGGTGATTCATGGGTTTATGATGATGGATATGATGGAGAATTAACAATCATCATTATCAGAGATGGATTCTGATGGATTATGATAGATTGAAGGGATCGTGTTTATGGTGATTAGTGATTAAATCTGATTTTCATGGAATTATCCATACTCATCACCATCGATACAGAATATGTTCTAAACAAGCATCATGGATTGAATGGAGGTATCAATGGTGAACCAATGATGATGTTTCATGGGATGTAATTGGTGAATATGGTGAATGGAAGAACCCAAAGATGGATACAGTTGCTGGTCTTAGTGGGTTATAACTCCAAATATAACTAGACATACCCTACTTATCCCTCTTACACCTGGGGTTTTAATCCACGTACTGGAATGAACCGCCAAGTAGATTGTGGGATTGACCGTTTTTGGGGATTTCATAGATTGTTTTTTGGGATAAATCCGCAGGAAACCATGGTGAAAACACCAGTCATAAAATGGACATTTTCCTGTATTTATTTTCATCATCCGATAACAAGATTATGAGATAGTTCCACTTAATGATGGTTAGATAGAAATTATGGGATTAATATGGATTAATGATGTACGGTTCTACACTAGATAAACGAGCCTTCCTTAATGATAGGAAATTTATGGACATTTATACATCACCAATCATGGGATATGTATAATAGCTGGGTAAATTATAATATTTCACTAACCTGAATTAAGGCCATTTGGGGATGATTTCCCGCAATCTAACCATGATTCCAGTGAGGTCGTTATAATTTACCCAGATAATATGTATAATATGTATATGTTTTTGTCAGTGGAACTTCCACCCAGTTCTCTGTGGTCCTCTACAGGCACCAAAGGCTGTGTTTCAAGGATTTTTTCACTTACTGCTGCGTAGCAGGGAATGGGGGACCGGGATGATGGTTCACAACTATTACGGATCATTCCCACATTCCCTACTAAGCAGCAGTAAATTCATGTGTTTGGAAACTTGTTTCTGTGCTTGGAGGTGGCTGATGTTTCGGATGCAACTCCGATATCCAAAATTATCCAAATTGAACTGTTGGCCCAGACCTGCACAGGTCGGGACATGACGCTGTGAAGACTGACCATAACCATTCCTCTGAAACTCATTAGTTTGCTGACCAAACTTCCACATGACGAAAAATTGTCAGTCTGTGGTACTCCATTCCAAACGAGCTGTGCCATGTCCATATCAAAATCAACACTGTACCCCAACCATCGACCGCCACTGCTCATATAAAATCCCCCCTATCCCATCTCATCAAACAAAACTATAGTTGTTTTTTCAATCACGTTCCCAATCCATCTTAGTTATCAGAATTTCCTCAGCTTAATATAGCTAAATATAGCTAGTAAAAGTCCCTATACTTTGTTCCTATGGGTCATAATCAACAGCTTAGTTTTTTTTTTCAGTCCCATTTTCCCCATCATTTTGGCCAAATTGGCCGGAAAATGGCATTGCCCATCATCCCATCATCCCATGATCCGTGCGTCCTCGACCTCTTCCAGGATGCTCTTCTCCAATCTGGGCACCAGCAACTTCGCCGCGTCCGCCGCGTCCTGGCGACTTGAAGGTGACTTGGCCGTGACTTGGAGGGGATGATGAGCTGGAAAAAAACGATTTTTCAGTGGGTTTATACATGGTTCGTATATGGTTAATGTATGGTTAATGTATGCTTCATGTTTATGATATTCTTATATGGTTATCAATAGTAGTTGTAAATGCTATGGGATAGAAGGGGAGATAGGAAACATATAGTTCGAACCAAATATCCAAATATCCAATAATATGGTGTTTGATATTGTTTGATATTGTTTGATAGCGTTTCGTAATGGTTTTTCACAGCGTTCAATAGAATGTCTAATCGGGACATAATGGTGCTCCTAGCCCACACGTGCCATGGTTTCTGGTCATCCATCCGATGCTGAAAATCCGAAAAAACATCAAACCCATTGAATCCTTATCCTGGTTGGTGGTATACCTACCCCTCTGAAAAATGATGGAATGTAAAGAGGATAAAACTAACCAACTATTCTACTTTGGGATTTATACACAATGAATAGGGATATAATTAGATATAATGGGTTCGATTTAGAGAACAATAATGCAGGGTTGGTAAATGTCCTAATTGAACATCACCCAAATATTGGGGATATAATCTCCAACAGATACTTGAAAGTGATGTGAACCACATCCCCAAAATGGAACATTTACCAAACCCCTGTAATTTTTGAGCAAGTTCCATGGTGTGACAATAACATCCAGTGGGATTTGGTGCCATGAGACATTCACCTGTGGCCCATCGATATAACCAACCCAACAACGGAGGCCCAACATCTAATGATTGATTCGCCAGTAAAATTGCAAATTACTTTACTTCGTGTGATCCCCACCATGACATTTATACATTTTGTTACTAGCAAATCTTCTGGCATTCTATCTGCCATATTTTCTGGCATTCGATCTGGCATACCTTCTTTCTACCTGGCATATCTTCTGGCAGATGTTCTGGCATATCTTCTGGCATTCCATCTGGCATTCTATCTGGCATATCTTCTGGCATTCTACCTGGCATTCTATCTGGCATATCTTCTGGCATTCTACCTGGCATATCTTCTGGCATATCTTCTGGCATTCCATCTGGCATTCTATCTGGCATATCTTCTGGCATATTATCTGGCAAATCTTCTGGCATTCTATCTGGCAAACATTCTGGCACTTTATCTGGCATATCTTCTGGCATTCTATCTGGCATATCTTCTGGCATATGTTCTGGCATATCTCATGGCATTTTATCTGGCATATCTTCTGGCATTCCATCTGACATTCTATCTGGCATATCTTCTGGCAATCTTATCTGGCATATCTTCTGGCATTCCATCTGACATTCTATCTGGCATATCTTCTGGCATTCTATCTGCCCGTTGAGGTCCAGCAGTGCACACTGAGCTGGGAAGGTCCCCGCTTGAGGTCCAGCGGTGCACACTGAGCTGGGCAGATCCCAGGTTGAGGTCCAGCGGTGCACACTGGGCTGGGCAGGTCCCAGGTTGAGGTCCAGCGGTGCACACTGAGCTGAGACGGTCCCTGGTTGAGGTCCAGCGGTGCACACTGAGCTGGCAAGGTCCCAGGTTGAGGTCCAGCGGTGCACACTGAGCTGGCAAGGTACCAGGTTGAGGTCCAGCGGTGCACAC